GGTAGAAGTTCTTTTTTTTCAACCCTTGTATCTGGATGTCCAGATGTTCTTACATCTATCTGTTGGAAACACTGTCCTTTGTTGAATTTCCTTGGCACCTTATTAAAAAAAAAATCACTTGACTGTTCATGTGTATTTATTTCTGGGTTTCTATTTGATTAATTTATGTGTTCATCTTTTTTTACCAATCCACACTGTCTTAATTAGTATAATTTCATGGTTAGACTTTAAATCAGGTAATGTGATTCTTTGAGTCAATTTGTAGATGCACGTAAAGCATGCAAGGATTTTGCTGAAATTGCATTGATTCGTGGATCAATTTGAGGAGCATTCCTAGCTTAATATGTAGTCGTTTAACCCATAAATATAAACACATCACTTGATTTTCATTAGTGCTCTGTAGTTTTGCACATACATATCTCCTTGTATGTTTTATTAGATTTGTATAGGAGAATTTCATTAGGAAGGGGCCTATAATATATGATACTATGTTTAAATTTATGTCTTCCAAATTACAGAGACAAAATTGATTTTTGTGTAACAATCATATCTATAACTTCAACTAAGCTCACTTATATTTTCAGGAGCCTTTTCATGGATTCTTTGGTATTTTTTCTAGGAATGGAGACAATTTTGGCTCATCTTTTCCAAACTGTATACCTTCTGATTTGTGTTATTGCACTGACTAGAACTTGCAGGATTATAACTAGAAATAAGAGCCGGGGGTTTAGCTCAGTGGCGTAAGTGCCCACTTGGCAAACATGAAGTCGTGAATTAGATCCCTGGCATAAAAAAACCCCCAAAAATCTAGAAATAGAGAGATACTTTTTCCCAGACTTAGAAGAAAGTATTTAGCCTATACCCATTTAATGTAATACTGTAGTTTTTTTCTTTGGAGATGTTCATTTTAAAAACTTCCCTTCTGTTTGTAGTTTACTGAAAATGTTTCTTCATGCCAGGTTTTGTCAAGTACATTTTATGCATCCTTCAAGGCAGGCATGGTTTTGCTTCTTCAGTCTGTTAATATGGTAGATTATTTTCATCAGCTTTCTAGTGTTAAACCATCCTTTCATTCCTGGGATAAACCTTACGTGATGGTGATGTATTATTATCTTTATATATAACTACATTAAAATTGCTGGTATTTGAGAATTCTTGTATTCATGGACATTATTGCTCTGGTTTTTTTTTTTTTTTTTTTTTGTAATGTCTTTGTCTGGTTTTGGTAAGGTACAATATTGGTCCCATCACATAAGTCTGAAAATATTTTTTCCTCTTCCATATTCTGGAAGAGAATAAAGAATGTAGAATTGTTATTATTCTATAAGTATTTGATAAAATATCTGAACTATTATCGATATGGTTGAATTTACATTTACCATTTTAGTTTTATTCTATGTATCCTATGTGTTCCTCTGTCCCTCCTTGTCTGTTTTCTATAAATAAAATAATAAATATTTGTCAGTTGCCATAGTTACTATCATTTATTAGATTAAAATTTTTGTAAGAAAATCATTTTATTCTGATTAACTCACACGTAACAACTCACAACTGCTGGTTTAAGGAAACCATACAAACATTCTCCTCAAATTCTGTACCATTTCAGTGAACTTCTGTGTAACACCATTGCCATTACCATTGCCAAGCAATGAAGCTGATAACAAGAGGTTTAGTTTACAGTTTTACACTTTATACTTTCATTATTAGATACATTTTCATGCTGAAGTAATCAGAGCAAATTTTCCATTTCTTCAATTTAAACTTCTTACTTTTAGTTATTGAACATTTCAGTTCTACATTGCTTCAGCACCTCATTGAAAACCTCACAGAGCTTAACATCATCCAAAAATGGTTTTATCTCATAAAAGCAGGGCCACCAAACAGCAGTTGCACCCACTGGTTCCCTGAAGTTGCTGCAAATGATGTCCTCAGCATTACCCCACTCCCCACACCCCTTGTATGCAGAGCCAGTAGCTATGCCAGTGGCAGCTATTAGACCTGACTACCGGGTGCAGCAGCAGGTGCCCCAACTGCAGTGGCAGGGCTGCTGCTGGAAGGTGGGCTGCTGCTAGCCTGAAGCCAGCTCTCATCCAAGCTCTAATGTCAACCATCAGCTTGTCTGGCCGAGAGACCATGCAGAAAGTACAGTTTGATTTCTGCCTGGCATCATTAGCTCATGGTTGTTTGGTGTCTAGAAATGCAAAGTTGCAAAGAATCTCTTCAACTAAATGTTTGAAGTTTGTTTGGTAGTTGTAGAAGATAAATATGCATCTTTTTAACATCACAAGACGCTTTACACCAAAGTACAGGATCATTTCTCTAGCTTAGCTCTACTCTTCTTCCTCACTTTATGAAATTATTTTCATTTATATCTATAGATTATAAACCCAGCAATCCAGTGTTAAAATTAAGTGTGTTCTTCAGTCTTTCCTCCTTTAAGAAAGTTAAAGAAGCAAATTAGGAAAAACAAGTTTTTAATTTTTATATTAACCTACATACTTCTAGTGCTCTTTCTCACTGTGGATTCTAATCACCATCTTTAATAATTTCCTCCTAGCTTGAAGGAGTCCCTTTTGTTTCTCACAGTAGAGGTCTGTAGTCAGCAAGTCTCTCATTCTTTATTTGTGTCTTTATTCTGCTCTGTATTTTTTTTTTTTTTTGAGAGGCAGGGTCCTATTATCTGATTCTAGGCTGATGGTCATTCTTTCTACATGATATGTTACTTCATTGCTTTCTGGCCTGCATTTTGATAGATGGCAAGTCACCTGTTAATTCTGCTGACCTCAGATGCAGAAAGCAACATACTTACTGCTTTTAGGGGTTTTTTGTTGTTGGGTTTTTTTTTTTTTTTTTTTTTTTTATCTTCAGCAGTCTAGTCCTGCTAGACTTACCAAGATATAGATAAGTTTGTACCCTACAAAGTTTGCTGAGGTTTGTTGAATGTCTTAAAAGTATAGATTAAAGCGTTCCCTCAAATTTGGGAAGGTTTTTTTGGCATTCTTCAAATACCACTTCTGCTCCTTCTCCTCTTCTCCCTCCAGGATTCCCATTGTGCCTGATGATTTCTGGGGCTTTATTTTTCAGTAGTTTTTTATTTTGTTCTTCATTTTGGACAGCTTGGACTGATGTATCTTAAGTTCACTGATTCTGTCTTTTCTCATCCTGAATCTGCTCTTCACCCCATATAGTATATTTTTAGTTTCAGCTATTGTACTTTCAACTCCAGAAATTTAAAATAATTTCTTTCCTTCAGAATTTGTTAATTCCTTCTCATATTTTTATTTAACGTTTCCACATGGTTTTCTTTAGTTCTTTGAACATATTTATAGAAGCTGTTTTGTCTGCTGCTTTGTTTTTGTCTGCTAAATTCAGCATCTGGGGACATTTACGGATACTTTCTCTTGACTGCTAGTTTTTCTCCATGTGGATCATATCTTGCTGTTTCTTTGAAGAACTCTTAAATTTTTGTTGAAAATTGAACATTTATGAGAATAAATTATAGCAACTCTGGATTTTCATTATTCCTCCTTGTAGGCAGTAGTTGTTAGTTGTTTCTGCTTTGTTTGTAAAGTAACTTGCTCAGGCGACATTTCTGAACTGTCTCCCTTTCAGCTCAGTTCCCTGCCTCCCCCACCCCGCACGCCCCCCTCCTTCCCGCCCCATTACAAGGGATTGAACTCACAACCTTGCGCTTGTGAAGCAGGCCCTTGTGCCAAGGAGCTAAATCCCTGGCAAAATCCTGTTCTGGATACCTTGTTCCCCACTCCTCCCCAGATCGAACTCATGACCTTGTGGTCGCCAGTCACGTGCTTATGCCACTGAGCTAACTCCCCAGCCCATTCAGCTCAGTTTATATTTCTTTATTTTCCAAGTCCTGCTTCCAGGGGTTTACTGATGCATCTGTGTAGACTGATGGGAAGCTTCTGATTGATGGGGCAGAGGCAGTGTTTTGCCACATCAAGCCAGTAAGGCCCTGTTGTCTGTCAGTGAAACAATACAGGTAGTGAGTACATTCAAAGCTAGGGCCTTTTCAAGTTAAGCCTGGCTCCTTTTACTTTCCTTTGGCCTTATTTTATTTTATTTTTAAGATAAAGTATCACTATGTTGCCAGGTTGACTTCAACTCCTGAGCCCCGGTGATCTTCCCGCCTCTCTTACCAGGTATCTGGAGTTATAGGTACATCCTACACAGCACATGGCTGCCTAAACCCCTTTTTAAAAATCTTCTTTCTTTGTGTGTGCAGCATAAGAGTTGGTAAGGAGCTTGTGGTTGGTTTGAACCTGTCCAGTGTGTACTGTATATTCGTAATCTCAGCCTGGATGTGCTTGGTCCAGCCATCTTGGCTAGTTAGTCTATTTATGCCATCATCTACCTCAGAGATTGTCACTGCCACCATGACTCCTCTGAGCATGGGCATGGGCAGCTCCCACTGCTCCACATCAAATGAGCTTCCTCCTACCCCAGCAAAGAAGCACAGCTGTCAGCCCCCACGGCCTGCTCCACCTTACCATGTCTCCAGTAGGGGAGGAAGGTAGGAGAAATGAGAACAGCCACGGAGGGCTACTGTTATGCTGGAAGTTCAGCTGCTTTTCAAGTATAGGCTCTTTGCAGGTGGCTTTTTAGCTTTGGTTGATTCCAGAGCACTGATTTGGTTGTTGGCTATAGACTTCATGAGGGCGTGAAGCAACTGCCCTGATGTTTGTGTATAAGCTGGAGATCGTTTATCATATCAACATAAGCCTTACTTTAAAATTTTTACTCTTGTCACAAAATATTCGTTGATGTGTTAAATTGAAATTTCATTCTTAAATACTTAATAAAGTCCATCAGATCCTTCCTTTGGTCTCTTGAAATTTCCCATGTCTCATGTGTTTAAGGTGCTGAAAAATTATTATGATTTTGCCTTTATAAAACAGCTTTCTACCAAGTGGCCAGTAGTCATAGAAATAGTTTTTCACTTTAGAGGGAGTTCTGGGTCAGTCTTGGTGTGTTTTTTACAGGGCGCTTTGAAGAGGAATTTATCAAAATGCGCATGGAGAGACTTCAAGCCTGGATGACCAGGATGTGTCGGCACCCAGTCATCTCAGAAAGCGAGGTCTTCCAGCAATTCCTGAACTTCCGAGACGAGAAGGTAAGAAAACTGACCATTACGATCTTAGGAAAGTGAGTGTTCTCACAGTCACACTGATGGTATGTGAGAAAGGAGTTAAAAGCAAATTCATTAATTGTCTCTTACTCCTTCCAAAGACAGGAAAGGGACCGAAACCTAAATCCCTGTTGTGGAAGTGAGTCCTACAGTATGAAAGAATTGTCAGCCAGAGGACTCTTAAACACACTAGGGCTGGTGAGCGGGCAGAACAGATTCACTTGGGTGAGCAGTTTTTTGATAGATGCTCTTAAAAATAGGACAGACCCCAAATAATGAAGGGTGCTACCAGTGTAAAGTATATAGATGAACAATTCCTCTGATCACCTTTGACCTAACAGTGCCACAGCTTCTAGAAGTAGTGTTAAAGCTGAAAAATTCTTCTTGAAGACAAGTCCTCTCTCCATAACTGTAGTTGTGTGTCCAAAGTGAATGTTAGTCTGTCTCTGCCTGCCCCCGTGGACAGTTATCTGCCAGTGGGCATTGGTTTTTCATTACAGTGACGACAAACTGAGTGCTTGACATCTCATCACCATCTACTTTGAAAACACTTGATTTCTTAGTAAGCTTTCACTGTACTCCCTGCTGTAACCCTTTATTCCCTAAAGACAGTTATTCTATAATTTTCTTTCGGGTTTTTTTTTTTTTTTTTTTTTTTTTTTTGTGGTACCAGTGATTGAACTCACAACCTCACACTTACCAGGCAAGTGCTTGAGCTGCTGAGCTAAATCCCTGACCCGCTAAATAGTAAAAGCATGAGTTAGCTCAAACAGCAGCAGATGCTAAATATATTATGATCCTGGAAAAAGTGTTACAAAGTCATTTTTATCTTTATCAAATAGAAGACTGTCTTATACCTTGTTGGACCATCCAGATACTTACTTGCTAAATTCCTTTATGGTATTTTTCTTCCCTTGTTGAAAGAGAAAGACATTTACAAAAAGTTCTTGGTACCGATAAAAAGGAAAAAGATAAAAAAATACAATAAAAAATAAAAAGTTTTCAATATTAGAGCTTTTTCTTCACATATATATTAAGAGACATACACACGCATTTAATATAGTATAAATATTTGGTCCTCAGTTTCAGTTATTGCCTCTTTCTAAACAAGACTGTTTTATTCAGTATTAAATGTCACCAGGTAGGAAGTCGGAAAACACTGAGGTGCCTAACATTTCTTCATGAATTTGTATCTATTGTAGATTAGCTTTGCAAGCTACTCTAGGTAACTCTAGTTTTTCTAAGAAGTGATATTTATTCACAATACATATACCTGGAGCTATTTAGTAGTGATACTAGGTTCTTTGAGTTCTACAGGTTACGAAACCTCTATTACAGCCTCTCCAAGTTCGTTGTCTTTTGGCTTCCCACAGGACTTCAATAAAGGCTTGTTATATTGGTTTTCCAAGGATTTGATTTAGTTCTGAAGGTCATATTTTCTGCATAGTATAGTTTAAAAATAATAAATCCTAGACATTGGTCATATTGTTTTTCTTCTGATGACTGATATCTTCAAAGACTCATCAGCTTACCATATAAAAATGGTACAAGAGAAAAAAAGAACTTAAGAGTCAGGACACTTCTAATCTTGCCTCTACTTCTAACTTCTTCAGTGATTTTGATTAAAATATTTGTTCTCTTCAAGCCAGTTTCTTCACAAGCTAAATGGCAGTATGAAATCAGAAAAACTGACTCTTTGATTATTAGTACCGAGTATAATGATAAACATAGAAAATACGAAAGACTCTGTATAGAAATTACTCGAGATAAGTGGCATTAAGGTGACTAGATACAATAAATACCACATTTTTTCAGCAATAAACAGAAATTGTAAGTTAAAAGTGCTATCATTTAAATAGTATCAAAGTATCAAATATGTGGGAATAAACACAAGAAAATGTGTAATAGATCTTCATTGAAGGCTACAAACTACTAACAGGAGGCCTAAATAAATTTTCTATTATGGATTTAAAAATAATAAATATGTTTTAAAAAATCAAAATGTTAAGAGTAGTCAAGATGCTCTTAGAAGAAAAAGAAGCAAGATATGGCACTCAATCTCAAAACTCTCTGTAGAGCTCAAATAGTGTGAAAAGTGTAGTGTTGGCTAAAAGATGGAGAACCAGATCAGAAGAGTAGAATAAGGTGGCAGTGAGTACAGAAGGGAAGGAATAGTTTTTTCCATAAATATTGCTGTTGCCTTTGGGACATCATTGGGAAAGGTGAAATGTGATTATATTTTTTAAAACAGCCTTACCTGTGAAGTATTTACAGGCAGAACCATATTGTATCTGAGATTCCCTTTAAAATCAGGAGGAAAAGTACAAGGAGTGACTGGAATGGAAGAGAGCAGCTATTTTAGAACAAGAAGCAGGGGCCAGGGCTCAGCTTCGGTTTTCATTCTCCACCACGTTTGAGACCAGCTGCAGTCTCTGCGCTTCAGCAGGCTCAGCAAGACAGGAGCCCAACAGTGTCTGCCTCTCCTGAACATTCGTTGAAGGACTGCTGGACATTATAACCAAAGGAAGAATATGATTCCAGAACAATATTGGAAGCAACAGTAGCAACTGTTAGGTAGGACTCTAAAGAGTAAAGCTGAAGAGATTTAACCAGTTAACAAGAAAGCAGGAAATAAAATTCTTCCCAGAATGTGTCACCAGCTAGCATAGCTCCTTGCTTTAATGATAAAGGATATTAAAACTAAAGTACAGATTTGTAGGGAAAAGCTTTGATTAAAAGTATGAGAAAACAAGGGAGAGCAGAGTTCTGACAAAGATCAGTCAGGTCCTTTAACAAGGAATGTAAGAGCATGTAGGGAAAGTATGCCTACTTGGGTAGCTGAAAGAGCATACTTGGATGCAGAAGTTCAAACTGGCCTGTCCACAAAAGCAGGAGACCAGTTTTTAAGGATTATTTGAGGTGGGACAAGGTCTAAAAAGTTATTTTCTCCATCCTCAATTTGTAGCTCAAACTGAGTATTCCCGACTTGAAAGGCAGTTTGAAGAGCCCTGAGAGAAATCTTCTTGCCTCATCAGGGTTATTTTAGTCATATGAGAGAGTGCTGGAATCTAGGATGACCATAGGTTAGGGCAGTGGAAATTCTGGGCAAAGCTGGATGTCAGTATATCTTTTATTCTAGTTTCTTTTGTCTTTAAAGGTAATGTGATGTGCTAAATTTAGGTATAATAAACCTCGTTTAACCAACATTTACACATACGCTCCTAAATGACTAACATGCTAATATTGTAGAACTAGGAAGGGTTTGACCCAGCGTTTTACAAAATGAAGACCAAGCTTTATTCTACTTTTAGTTACCTGTAAGCTGGTCATTTGCAAGCCTGTATCTTGACTACTTTTCTCATTGCTGGAACAACATTATTGACACTCACAAGTTTACTTTAGCTCACAGTTTATAGAGGCTTCAGTCCAAAGTCTGCTGGCCCCAAGAGAAGGTTGCATAGCAGAGGGGCAGCAGAGGAGAAACAGTTCATGTTGTGGCAGGCAAGAAGCAACAGCAGGAGTGAGTCTCCCTTTCCCTTTTACCCATCCAAACTACAAGCCCTACAGGATGGTGCTATCCACATATAGCCTGGGCTTTCCCATTATCCACACCCAGAATTATGCTAAACCAATCAGTGGGCTAATTCCTTTTTTTTTTTTAATTTTGTTTAAGGAGAAAAAGAAAAACAGAGAAAGGGTACAAGTTATACAGATTTACAGAAATAAACAGTAGGAAATCACTAGTTAATGGATTACATATTCTCATCTTAGAAATAATTGTTCAAGTCACAAAATTAAAGCTTATAAAGTGGACATTCCAACAGTGAGACTGTAAACAGTTCTGTTCAATGATCCAACAAAACTCAGTAATATCATTATCTATCTTATACACTTAAATATACATGCAGTTATATCGTTTAGAGCACTTTCTTTTCCTCTCTTTTGTACAATGACAATTACTCATTTTGGGTTTTGTTGCTCCCACAGTTCTTATTACTTTTTTGGAAGAGGGTAGAACCAAATGTGACATAACAGAACAGAATCAGTCAAATCAAAAGGATGGACATAATAGATAATGTAAAAACATAATACAAGGTGATCAACAATGGTTATCAGAATGCCTCCCGCTATCTCTAATAGAATTGCCTATATCGTCAGTTATAATAAAATTGAATAATTTTATTATATTGTAAAGAACAAAAGTAAAGAGCAAAACCGGCAAAACCAAAACATTGGAGATATTATAGGTCTTCAAAAGTAGATAATAGTCAACCAGAATGGACGTCATAATGAATCCCATTATCTTCACAGCTGTTGCCTAAACTTTCGAACCTGGTACTATCAAGCAAAACAGAATAGAGGGACATCAGTCAAAACAAGGTGGTGAGAGCAATGCAGGGCTTTAAATCAAGATAATGGAGAGTCAAAGTGGGTTACTATAATATATCCTGCTATTTTTTTATTTATTTTTCCCTTAATTAAAAGGATAAAAATAAAAAGTAAATAATAAAATGGAGATTGAGGTAAAAGAGGGCATAACAGCAAAATAGCGCAGATCAAAACATAACCATTTAAGCAAAATAGTGTTTCACCACAAGATTATCCCGACATAAAAGAAGTTACCATATTGTCTATTTCCTTGAAATCTTTGAGTATAACTTCGTATACTGTAGCATCAAATATATCAAAACAATGTAAAACCATTTAAGAGAATGACAGTATTACAGGGTATTTAGAATCAACTAACAGAAAATGAACAATGGTTTCTGTATAATCTCCTTGTCTATAAAAGTTTTTGCTTATACTATCATACCTAATAAAATCCAATAAGATACAACCTGTTTAGACCAATGGAGACAGAAGAACAAAAGCTTGATGAGACTTCAAAACAAGATGATACTAAATCAGTATTACTTATTAAGACATCATTTTCTCCAAAATAGCTGTTCCTATCATCCAATCTTCTCTGTCTCGTTTCTGTCAAGCTCTTTTTCTGTCATTAGTTGTCAGTTTGTCTTCTTCATTTCGCTTTTTGCTCCATTCATTGTGGCCTCTCTGCCACTATTTCTGGATTCTTCATATTTTTCTTTTTTAGAATATCCTGTAGTATTTATTCTCTGTAGAGTTGAATTGGTGGTTGCAAATTCCTCTAGTTCCTCTTTATCCTGGAAGCACCTTGTTTTTCCATCAATTTCCAGGGATAGTTGTGCAGGATATATGAATCTTGGCTGGAGGTTATGATCTTTCAAAGCTTGAATTATTTCCCCCCACGCTCTTCGTGATTTGATGGTTTGTGCCAAGAAATCTGCTGTAATTCTGATGGGTGTTCCCTTGTAAGTGATCTGTTTCTTGTCTCTGATGGCTTTTAATATTCTGTTCTTGTATTGGATTTCTGGAATTTTAATTATTATATGCCTGGGTGTTGCTCTGTTTGGGTTGTAGGTGGCTGAGGTCCTGTATGCTTCATACAACTGAGTATCTTTACCTTTTGCTAAATTAGGAAAATTCTCCTGGATTATATCTGTGAGTAGCTTTTGTAGTTCATTTGTTTGTGTCCCTACTTCTTTTATGTTCTTAATTCTTAAGTTATAGATCCTCTTATCATCTTCTAGTCTTTGTATTATTGCTGTTTGTTTCTTTGTTATTTTTAAGAAGTTTTTCATTTCATTCTCCCATATTACAAATCTGCCCTCCAGTTCAGATAATCTGTCCTTAGTTTCTTTCAAGCTGTTATGCAGTTTTCGATAGTTTTTAGTTTCCTGGTAATCTCTTTGAACCTGCTTCACGTATTCTATGCTTTCTCTATTTTCTCCATCAAACAATTCTCCCCTCGTTTTCTGTTCTTCCATTCCACCATCTGTTTTTTCTTGGGTGGTGCTTAGCATTTCTCTAACTATTCTGCTTATTTCTAGCTTCAGGTCATTAAAACTTCATTCCTGAACTCGTCTATGAGGCTCTGGAGATAGCACTTTATGTCTATTGGTGCAGTGTCCGCTATTGCCTGTTTCTCAGGATTGGGGGCTGAGGGGCCTTTCTTGTTGCTCCTTCTTCCCATATTCTTTGTTCATTATATATGCAAGTGTATATAGGAGGCCCAGCTTCCTTCCCTGTTGGCCACAATCTGATTGAATTGTGTTGGCTAGGTGTTCCCACCCACGGCAGCACACCAGGGAGTTATGGACTTATGCGGGGCCTGCCCCACCAGGTCACCTTCAGGCACTGGGACCTGAGCTGTGCTAGCCTACTGGGTCTCAGCCACCAGCGTCACGTAGGCTACACACTGCCCACCAGTCCCGCTTGAGAGGGGGATATATGACTGAAGTCACTACAGCACCCTGTTCCGGCAAGTGTGCCCGGTCCCAGAATGTCCTCTGTTGGAGCCTCCTAGATCGTGGAAGAGTCCCAGTTTCTCTGCCTCACCACAGGTCGATGCACGGCTCCCCGCCCATCCTGCTGTCAACTTCGTTCACCGATTCCCTTCTCAGAGCTTTCGCGCGTCTGTCTCCCTGCCGAGCCAATTCAGATGCAGCCACGGTGGCAAGAAACCCAAATCGCGGTTTCCAATGGCGCGGGCTCCAGCTTCCACGCTGAGGCTTTATCTGTTCCTGTTATAGCACCAGGATTGCATTCCCAGTTGGTTTCTCTCAGCCCAGTTCGTTCTTGGGTCAGCAGGCCATATCTCCTCTCTTGCTTAGGATTCCTCACTCCGCACCATTCCTGGATTCTAAGCTGGGTCTTTCAGAGAGCCTCTGTAGCTGCTGCTATCTGTCCGCAGTGGGCTAATTCATTTATCACACCTTTAATCCAGTATCACACACCCATAATCCAGCCATTCCCCAAAGCCCCACCAATGGAGCGCTTGAGGCTTTTATGTGACATTTTAGATATAAACCATAACTGTCCACAAGAAAAAAAAATCACAGTTCTTAGCACAGAACACTTTTAAATCCCCGACTGCCTCAGAAGAAAACACAGCCCCAATAATTGAGGGCTCGGGAGTTTTTTATTTGTTTGGCTTTGTTTCTTATCTAGTGGTCTTTGACTATATCATATGGAAACAGGCACCAAAGTAGTTCCGAATGACAAGGATTATATACTTTCACTTTGTCTCTGTCTTTCTCAGTGGAATCTGGCTAAAACTGCCCAGGCTGGCCTCAAACTTGCAACCTTTCTACCCCAGGCCTGAGTCTCTGGGATTAGCGGCATTTCCAACATACTTGGCTAAAAAGGATTATCGCTTTAATAATATCTAGAGATGGTAACAATTTTGGAAAGTATGTAGACTAAGTCGCTGTGGAAAGTGCATCACCCATTCCTGTAGATCTCAAATCTTTTATCATGTAAATAATATTCATGTATTTTACAAAACTGATGAAAAGCTGAGAATTTAGCTCACTGAAAGTATGCTTGTCTGGCTTTCAGGAGGCCCTGGGTTTGGTCCTGAGCACCAAAACATTAAAAGGAAAAAGAAACAAACAAAAACTAATGATACTTTTAAGAATTGATGAAATGGATAGCAGAAGCCAAGTCACTGGGAATTTATTATAGTTTTCTATTTTTATATTGCAGTGGCAAACAGAAACACCAAAATGTCATCCAGGATTTGGAGGTAGATTTATTTATGTGGTTGGGCACTGACCTCTAGAAAAAATGTCAGGCCCTGCTCATTGATAGTTTAGGGTTTATATGGGATAAGCAAGCAGGAAGTACAGAAGCAAGTATTTAGCAGTTATTGATCAGTTTTTATAATATGCCTCATAGCAACTAGCTATGCCTCAGAGTGACCAGCCATTTTTAAGAAACAGAAATAACAGGAACTGTTACCTGGGCAATTAACAAAAACTGAAGTATACTAGTTGGAAGGAGGCATTTTATGCTACATTTGCCCCCTCTTTTAGTTTTCCAGCAAATTTTTGCTGTACATGTTGCATGTGATTTTTTTGAGATGAACTGGAAAAGCCAAATATTTATATAAGGTCCAACTAGAAACAGTAATATTAAGGTGGTCCTAGCCGAGGTCACCATGATTGGAAAGTTTCCATTGTAATAAAAAGTTTTTAAAAATATAATGCTATATGGTTCAGAGATATAAATATGATAAGGAAAAGCAACACAATGAGCCTCCTAGAAGGTGATGCAGGGGAATATCTTCATACTCAGCAGATTTACTAAAATAAGAAAGAATGACCACACCAGGTATCTTCTTGGTAAAGTAAAATGCTGCCAGGACTTCACTTTCTGTTGGGGTTAGGAATCTTTAAGACCAGTTTGGAAAACCACTTGGCATTAGCTACAGAAGTTGAACACAACCATAGAACCCAGCGTCTTTACTCCAAGGTACGTGCTAGACAGAAATTCAGTATATGTTCACCAAAAGACACATGCATCACAACTCGGTTCCTCACTGAAAGGAGTTGGCTGCCACTAGGAGAATGGTTAAATAGGGTGATTCACACAGTGCCTCCCTGGCAAGTGTGAGGTCCTCAGTTCAATCCCTGGTAACAATAACAACCAAAAAAAGTAGGGATGTTCGTACAACAGAATATTATAGAACCATGAAATGAGTGAGCCATAGTTGTGCACAGCAGTGTTAATATACGTTAAGCAAAAGAGACGAGGCTCTAAAGGTACATGCGCTGACATTCTTTGCTAATTCACAGAAGTAACAAACTAGTAATTTGGGAGCTGATTTTGTTTGAGAATTTGGAAAACGAGTTTTATTCTGCTGTCCCTTTTAATGCTGTGATGTTTTTCTCATTTATAGGAATGGAAAACTGGAAAGCGGAAGGCTGAGAAAGATGAGCTGGTGGGAGTTATGATATTTTCCACCATGGAACCAGAGGCACCTGACTTGGACTTAATAGAAATGTAAGAGACACTTCCCAACTTTCCTTCTCAGTGTTTATCCACACCCTTTGGCTGAAAGCCTTGGCTAGGATAGCTGCAGCTGGAATTCATATTGTCGGAGGACAGCTTATGAAATGAGGGAAGTTTATAGGCAAATGACAAAAATACTACATGTACATGGAAGTACCGTCTTTTAGCCATAACACCATATTAAGATCTGCTTCCTCTTTGCCTTGAAGTCAGTGGTTTCATGGTTGACACAGTGTTGGTTCCAGTAAAGTACAATGAGGCAAAGTGGCAGAGAGCCGTAAACAACGTCAGGCCCAGCAAACCAAAACCTTTTGAGCACTGCTTCAAAGGAAGCAGTTTCTAACCTGCCTGTTCTGTTTTTTAATGTTGTTAGTTATTTACTTGTTAATACAGATTCATTTATCATTTTGAAAGTTTCTAATATAAAAGATTAATAAGAAATCTTACAGTTTTTTAGTTTTAAGCTTTTTTCTTATAAAACCATTATCTATGTTTCCAAAAATACAGGCCCCAAAAAAACTTCATAAGTCTTCTAGTTACTCAATGATATAAGACTCAGTGTTAACACTGTTGGTATATAGTCTTCCAAACCTCCTTCTGTACATAGCCTTTGGAAAATGAGCTGTTTAAATAAAAGTGATCTCACACTATACATTCTGATTTTTAAAAATTATTTTTCTCTTTGGTTGGACCTGGTAATTGAACTAAGGGCTTTACTCATGCTAAACGTGTGTTCTACCACTGAGCTACATCTTCCAGCCTATACATTCTGTGTTTTGTTTGTTTTGTTCTGTTTTTTTAGTACTGAGATCAAACTCATGACCTCATGCTTGCCAGGCAAGCACTTATGCCACTGAGCTAAATCCCCGGCTGTACATTCTGTTTTATGATGTGATTTTTGTTTCCTTTTTTCATTCAGCAATATACTGTAATCCTTGCAGTTGGTACTCTTTTTATACTCTCTGGGAGCGCGTATCATGAGAACACTAGATACCTGTTTAAATTCCTGTTAAATACCTGTTAGAATGAAGAAACAGCTACCATTAGCCTCCTAAACTTTTTATAAGATACTTGTGGTAACAATTTTACTTTGAATAATTTTAGTTAAAATTCACAAGGAATTGAGGAAAGGAAACAAAGTTAAACTATAAATGGCAGATTTTTAAATAGTTCGTTAAAAGCCATGATCTATCTTGTTTCAAGACTGGGTCAGTCAAAGGGCTGTTGTTTTGCAGAAAAGCAAGTACACAGATCGCCCTCCTTGTGACTTACAGCTCTGTCTGCCTACAGAGAACAGAAGTGCGAGGCTGTGGGGAAGTTCACCAAGGCCATGGATGATGGTGTGAAGGAGCTGCTGACTGTGGGGCAGGAGCACTGGAAACGCTGCACAGGGCGTAAGTGCCGTGCTCCAGGCGGGGCTGTATAGCATGGTCTTGCAGAGGGACCTGCCGCACACAGAAGAGACTGAAGTGAAGCCCAGTACTGCCATTCCTGTAGCCTTGGCCTGACCTCGCTTCTCTGCCCTAGCTAAACAGTAGGAAACTAACAAAGCCAGTCCAAGAAGTTTCCTATCACTTTGGGCTTTGTAATCTGTGGGAAATTAACCTTGTTTTCTTTTTTTTTGTTTTGTTTTGTTTGCTTGGACTTTGTTTGTTTTGCTTGTTTAGAGAATACTTGCACAGTTGCTTTTAATCTTACAATTTTACTTTTTAATCTTTATCCATTTAATAACATGCTGTATTTAATTTTAACTAAAGTCGTAATTTTCAGGAAAAGCCAGTATAGTTGGTGAAAAATAGTCTAGAGGGATCAAAAACCTAGCTTTGTGGAGGGGCAGTGCCTGTCAGCTGCGGTCTTTGCCCTTCCCTGGCTCTGAAAACTCCTCCTGTCCTTGTCCTGAGTGTATGTACTGTCACCCTGCTGAATCACCACCTTCACCCCAGAACTATGCAGCTCTGTTGTCAGATCGCCCAGGATGGCATAACACCATCGAATGTCCAAGTGATGCTCTTCTTAAAAAGTATAAAGGAATTCAATTACAAACATGGTTTTAGTTATAAACTCTTACAAGAATTATTTAAGCCTGTGTATTCTTTGGAAATTTCCTTTTTTAAGTGAATGTAAATCTTAAAAGGGTATCACACAAATCTGTGATTACATTTGGGGGGGTACTGAAGATTAAACCCAGTTCACACTGAGCTAAGCCCCTAGTCAGTGAGTTGCCCTGTGACTCAGACTTGAGACCCTCCTGCCTCAACCTCCCAGAGCACTAGGATAACAGGCTTGTACCACCACACCCAGTTTGGATGTTCTGTTCTGTTCTGTTTTATTTGAGATGGGGTCTCAAATATATAGTTCAGGCTGGCCCTGAACTCACTGTGTATTCCAGGCTAGCTTCAAACTTGCAGTGATCCTTCTGCCTCAGACTCCCAAGCATTGGGATTAATCTGCCACCATGCCTGGCCCAATATACCCAGGCCCAATATACCCAGTTTGGGATTATAATGTCCTTTACAGAATTAAATCTCTTACCTCTGATGCCCTATATAATCCATAAAGCCCAATTTATAAAATAAAGAATACTGACAGATTCTCTTGCTGGGGCAAGGATAAGGAATTGAGGCACTCAGGCATACCTTCCTTCACAAAATATTAAAGTTCCTGATCCATAAGGTGAAAATGTGGTAAAGCACATGACATGTGTGTCTTAATTCCCATAGAGAGACAAAAACTGAGGCATAAAAAGGTAATTAATTACTGAAATTAACTGAGCAAATATAGTTTGGGTTCAGGTATATTATGCTAACCAGCATGCACCTTGGACTCAAGCAGCAGTTTCTTTTGAAAGACCATTGGTGTGCTTGAGGAGACTGTGCACAGTGAAAATGCAAATGGATATGAAGACTGCTCTGGCAGTTCCCAGAATGATCCAGAATCCTAGCATTTTAGCACCTTAGGAAGGAAACTTAGGAATCAGTGAGAAAACATACTCCTCACTGCTCCTATGAAACCCCGTTGCCATGTTTTTTGCCAAACTTTGTTCTTCCAATTTTGGGTTGATTGGTTATTGATTTGCACATTGCTTTGGGCTCGTCTTTTATCTGCATCTCATTTTCCTAACCCTTCACATTCAGACTATAGTTTTGTACAGTAGAGAAGGGGGTTATTGTGGAGGCCAAGTACAAATGAAAGTGCTTTGCAAGCTAGAAATCTAAGTGAGCTTCAGTTCATTTCTGTTCAGTAAATGGGAATGTAGGAATAATTGATAATAATAGCATCTACCACTAATTTAAATCAGTTAAAAGTAAATAGTTGATTAAAGAATTCATCAGTGGAAAAACCGTTACTTTTTCATCAGTATTTTATTAAAGAATATAGTCTATTTGTAACCACTTCAAATATAATCACTAGAAAATAGTTGAGGGCTGGGAATATAACTCAGCAGCACAGTACCTGGCTGGCAAGCATGGAGTCATGAGTTCAATTCCCGGTACCAAAAATATATAAATAAAATTTTAAAAAAAGAAAATAGTTGAATTCCCTTTAGTTTGCTCAGAGAATCAGTTAACAGTTTATTCTTTTTTCTCTTTCAGCATTGCCTAAGGAATATCAAAAAATAGGAAAGGCCTTGCAGAGCTTAGCAACAGTGTTTAGTTCTAGCGGTTATCAAGGTATGTCTTTATTTTTTGTTATTTTTTTCTTTTTAGCATATAATTACGCCTATCTGTGGAGTACAGTATAGTAATTCAATGCAAGTCTACAATGTGTAATAACAAAATCGGTAATTATCATCTATTTCCATCTCCTTATTATTTCTTCATGTTTGGAACCTTCCAGCATTCTCTTTTAGTTCTTCATAAAATATAAAATAGGTTGTTGTGAACTGTAGCTACAACAATAGAAGTTACTCTTGTCTAATCACACAGTATCAAAATACCTGTCATCTGAATTTATTCTGTCTCCCTTCCCTTCCTAACTTCCATTGATGACTATTCTGCTCTCTTCTACTTTGAGATCAGTTCTTCTAACATCCACATGTGAGAGAGAATGTGCCTTTTGTGTCCTATCTCACCTGCTACACACACACACACACACACACACACACACACACACACACACATCCTTCCCACAGGCCGCCAGGATCTCACAGGCAGACAAAAACTTTGCCTGGAAGTGTCCTTGTCCCTGAGGGGCACTTGGCCAGGCTGTACACTCGTGACTTTTACTCCCTCACTTTATGACTTTGGAGAAAGGTGAAGGGTTGTTTTGTTTGTTTGCCTTCCTCTGCTCTCGGATATATCTCTTATTTTAACATAACAAGTAGCTGAGGCGTGTAGCATTCTCCTCTTCATTTCAGCTTTCTGCCAGAACTTCTGAGGTTTTTCTGGTAAAAAGGCTAAATTTTTTAAAAGGTCATTTGAAGGGACAGTGTTTGATTAGCAAATGTGTTGCCTTAAGTCTAAGGCATAATTGTTTTTAGCTTATCCCATAACTGTATGCTGCCTAGTAGTAGTTGCAGTTTCTTATACTTTCATGCTGGCAGTACTTGTAAGTTTTCCTTTAAAAAAAAAAAAAAAAGAAAGCATTTGTCAGTGAGTGGTACCTATTAAATCTGCATATCTCTTGTCAGTATATTAATCATCTCAGTGATAGAATTGGTACCTCACCAGGGGACCTGCCCTGATTCCCAGACAGGACCAGGCTTTGAATATCAAGGCAAATCTTTGAATGTTAGTCTGCACCAGAGTGTAAGACTTGGGGCTCCCACATGTGAGTACTGTAGTTCTGGCTTCCTGTGTCTTATAGTCAGGCCTCAGATTGGAAAGGAACCTCGAGGTTTTGTCAGTCTGAATGAGGAACCTGAGACCGTGAGCAAAGCCTCTGGGCCAGGACGACAAGCAGATGACAAACCAAAACTAGATATATCCATTGCCTGGCACTAGGCAGGTGTCCAGGTGCTCTCACACTTCTGGAGCTCTGTGGTGTCCGCATGGTATGAGAGCATTTGTTTTGGAAAACTGGGGAAGCTACTGATAGATCTGAGCACCATCATTGTGTGTTAGAACTCACCTACAGCTGAGGATGGAGATGCTTTGTGGAGTTTTATAGTCTCTAGCCAAGCAGCATAAAAGAAAGGAAATATAATGAATAACCGAGAAAGGAGGAAAGGAATAGAAGATATGGATGGCAGCAGGGCCAAGACCACCACAGAAGACAGTGGCAGTGATCCCTGCTGGAAGATAGGCAGTGAGCAAAGACCTATGTGTCCTTTGCCTGTAGGAGTGCTCTTCCCTTTAACCCCCAGAGAAGCACTGAGAGCTTCCTTCACCCTGTGACTCCTGCACATTGGACTGTCACTGCCAGCCAGTATGTTACTAGACATTCATACTGCACACAGCACTTTCTCAAGTGTTAAAAGCACTCAATACATCTTCTGTTACATAGCATGTAGTTACTGTTTTCAAAACACTGTTCATGTTCCTACTGACTGGCTTCTGCTGTTTAAAAGGACAGTGACAATGAGTAATGTTAAGTACTGAGTCTCGGATCAGTACTACACTGTGTGATACTGTGATAATGTAAATGAGGTTGATTTTTAAGGACATCTCTCACCTTGAATAACACTTTCACTGCTTTTTTAACTGTACGTATACTAACAATGGAAGACTGTTACTGTTAATATGACCCTTGTCAAGCCTGTGAAACATTCCATATTCTTATGGGGAATTCTTCAATAGTTTTTTTCAGGTTGAAATAATAATTTTAAATTTTAAAGTAGTATCTTTGGGAGAGGAGAAGTAGACTTCTGATAGTACCTTATTTGTAGATTTAGCTTTGGAAATGTGGGTGTTTTTCATAATTATTACAAAATATTTACATCAAAATGAGGGCACCCCTTATAATCAAAAGCAAAATAAAACACGTGATGTGACATCTCAAAATGAAGGCATAACCAAGTAGAGAGGAATTATCTAAGATCATCTTAAAGTAGCAGTCAGAAAGACTCCAGAATTTTAGTTGTTTTTACTAATTATATAATTAACAATATAATACTGTGTTGGTATTCTAAAACTATTTTACATAGTGTAAGATAAAGCTTTGTTAGTAATTAAGTATTTTAAAATACAAAAACTTTGAAATTAAGAAAATTCCCAGAGTCCTAAATCTTTTGGAAATACCAGTATGGATTTTCTTTTTAAAAAAAAAAACAATGCAATATGCTCTGCCCTGTTCACTGGAAAAGACTAGGAACAGTTCGCCATCCAGTGGCTGGGAGCATCTCCTGACTCCAGCCCATGTCTCATCACAGTGAGCCTGGCTCCTGTCCCAAGAACATTGGTGCCAATTTGAAGACCTTTCCACTGCCCAATGAAAGGAAATTGGAGCATTAGTGACAGCACTAACTGTAATCTTTTCAGGTGAAACAGATCTCAATGATGCAATAACAGAAGCTGGAAAAACTTACGAGGAAATTGCCAGTCTCGTGGCAGAACAGGTACTAACATACAGATTCAATTAAGATATTATGCTCTCTGATCTGAATATTTAAAACCTATTTTAAGACTTATCTAAATAGATCCTCTTCTTTTCTGTTGGTACATGTCTTTGTTAATTGTATTTGATAATAGTATTTCTAGGGTTAAGTCAAAGTAGATGGTTAAGTGTGCTGTCAGTAAGTCTAAATGGCCAGGCACAGTGGTGTACATCTATAATTCCGGGTCTGGGAGGCTCAGGTGGGAGGATTATAAGTTCAAGACCAGCCTGGACAGCTTACTGAGACCCTGCCCTGCCTTTTGTGTGTGTGTGTGTGTGTGTGTGTGTGTGTGTGTGTGTGTGTGTGTGTAATAAATGAACAAGAGTTAATGGCTAGGATTATAGCTCAGTGCAAAAGTCCTAGGTTCAATCTACAGTACCACGATAAGAAAGAATGAAGTCTAAACAAAGCTGGAGATATGACTCAGTGTCACAGTGCCTTCTTAGCCCTCTTAATGCTTTGAGTTTGATTCCTAGAACCAAAGAAAGAAGGAAAACTAGGGCTGGAGGTATAACTCATGACTAGAGCACTTGCCTAGCATGCATGAGACTTAAGGTCCAATCCTTACTATAAAAAAGGAAAAAAGAATAAAGAGGGAAAGGAGAGAGGTCTAAATAAATGCTTTCCAGTACTGGCACCTGATCTGCTCCTGCCCATCAGGGATTATAATGTACCCAAGAAAATGTTAGTCTGCTTTGCCTCTCTGCATCTGTTAATGACCATGGCGGTGCCTACCATGTATGGTACTGAGGATCTAATAGCTTTTTTAAAGTGTCTTTTGTAGTCCTCAGTCCAGGGTAAATCTTTGTTATTTGTTAGTCTTTAATAACCTAATTTCCATTCTTTTTATAAATAATAAGTTCCCTTAAGAAGGATAATCATCTAAGTTGTTTTAAATCCATAAATTTAAAATTTTCAGATGAGTTCTTGAGAAATGTAAAAATTTCTCAGTTGCCACTTAAAAGAATTACCAGATTTTAAGTATTTTTATATTCTGTAATAAAACACAAACATTAAATTATAACAACTTATTTGCCAGTTTGTAAACATACAATACTAAATTTTTTTCCTTACAGCATTATGTTTTGGTCTACCTCACAATACCTGATTTTACATGATGTTTTATCATTTTCTTAACTACATATGATTCATAGCATAATTATCTTGGGGATTATTTCTTTTAAGAAAACTAAAGAGAATGTTAGCACTCAGTAGATAAAGGATTTGATTAATACATTTCTCATACACTAGTTTTCTTGGCCTTTATTTTCTGAATTCCTCTGCCAGTAACAATCAGCCTGTGTCTTGTAGCCAAAGAAAGATCTCCATTTCCTGATGGAATGTAACCATGAGTATAAAGGCTTTCTCGGCTGCTTCCCGGATATCATTGGGGCTCACAAGGTAACATGACTATAGACATTCACAGAAGTGGGCACAGGTGGATTGCTTTCCAACATGCACAGCCCTGGCCATGTCATTTATATATTCATCTTTATGAATGAAAAATTATAATTCCCACCAGAAAGAATTTTAAGCTAAATTTGAAAATTGGTTGGCACGTCCTCACATTTTAACTCTAGTTAATTATTCTTTCCCCTTTTCAATATCTGTATATTATCTCAGTCATGAGTATTTCATCAATTCATGTGTGGTACTGTAGTTTATTGAATGTCCTTTGTTAGGGAAGTCTCTACAAAGGACTGGTCTGTGATCTTAACAGAGTTGCCACATGGGCATTTCAGTGTGTTGCTGTATAATTTTAGGACTCATGAAGGAGGAGCATAAGTATATAACCTTGAAGAACTTCTGAGAATATGAGAAAGAGCAGTTAGTTTCTCTTAGGGATTTATGTCAGCAGAATTAGAGTTGTAGGAATGGAGCCTAATTTATCCATAGAGTAAGAGCTTTTATTTCCAGATAATGCTGAAAAACAAACAGTATGATGGCACTGCAATGGAAAACATTTGGCAGCTTTTGCAGTTACTTCCATCTAACTATTAAATTGACTCAATGCCTCCTGCAGAGATCAAAGTAAAATTAAGTCTTACAGTCAGTACACTCAAGCATCAGCCAACCTATGAAATACACACTTTCAAAGGAGAGACAGTGTGTATATGTTACACTGCACCTAATTATATGAGTTCTAAATCTACTAATAGTGCCTGTTTTCATATTACTTATTACTCTTAAAATGCCAATGTGTTATAAATATTAGGAGGCAGTGTGCTATTTGATTTTCTCTTTTACTATAGAATAGAACTGTAAGATTTAGCTTAATTACATTTTTTAGTCCATTTGGCTTCCAAGACATTTAAAAGAAGTTAATTTGGATGATTTCCTGTGTTCTTAATTATTTTCCTGTTTGGTAGCAACAGAGTTATAGAACATACTGACACTATTAAACTAATGACTAATACTTTGGGCTTTCTTATTACCATCACTGCATTTTATGTTCCATAGGGAGCAATAGAAAAAGTGAAAGAAAGTGATAAGCTAGTTGCAACTAGTAAAATCACTCCACAAGACAAACAGACTATGGTGAAAAGAGTCGGCACCATGTCTTATGCTTTGCAAGGTAAGGAAAAGCATTATGAGTAGCTAAAGGTATTCTTTTATTTATTTTTTTCCCTCAAAAGTTCTCCCTACACACTTGCTTGAGAGACATGCAAGTGTAAACAATAGTTAAGTAAATAAAACCCAATTTAAAATATCATCATAAGCCCTTTTCCTATAGGATCCCACAGTTAATATGTCTGTAATACATCTGTAATACTTAACCGTTTCATGAACATATGTGATATAGTAACAGCTTGATTAAATCTGTGTATTATCTCAGAGACATGAGGCTTGCATTTATTATGCTCCCATACCATAAGGCTCTACCACACTCCAGGGCTCAGCATTCAGTGGTCTCTGTGTCCCAGACCATCAATGGTAAAGAAATTGGGAGGAATCCTTTTAGGCATAGACTGTTAATAAAAGGAAAGTATTAGTTAATGGTTAAAGATTTGAGTGTGTTTGAACACATAGGGCCAGCAAAGGGATGTTTCCTGTGCACAGGTGACTGGCACATGCTTGAGCAGAGAAGGAAGTTCATAGTATTGTTTATATTCATAGTATTTAACATGTAAATTAGTGAACATCTTTCAGTTACTGGGAAGCAGTGCTGCCTGTTGACTCTCCATTGAGTTTTCCATCACTGGAGTGAAATAAGGTACAGAGAACAGGCCCTTCTCCTGGAGCCAGATTAGGTCACAATCAAGCAGAGAAACCGGGTGTCATGGTTTGAAATCTTGGAGAGAAACTGACTGCTGCTTTGATTTTGATTGTAGCTGAGATGAATCACTTTCATAGTAACCGGATCTATGACTACAACAGCGTCATCCGTCTGTATCTGGAGCAGCAAGTGCAATTTTACGAAACGGTAAATAAGCACTCCTCCGTGCCTCTTCTATATTTGAGGGGAGGGCCATTCATGGTACATAACTTCAGCTATATGAAGTTCATCTGTATTCTCGAATTATAATAAATCAGAGAAGATTAAATTTTTGAAGATTTGGTTTTCTAAAAACTTTCTGCCTTTTCTGTTTTTGAGTAATACTGGATTTGAAAGGACTTCTTTTAAGAAAGTAGTATTGAATGCTAGTTCTGAAACTGGAGGAACCCCTCCTGTGTGACTGTCCCCTCCTTCATTGCCTCTGTGCCAAGTGACTGCTGCATGTGGTCACCCTGACGTGCTGGAGGTGCTATCCTCAGCTGAGGAAACAAGCCAAATGCAGCCTTTGTTCATGGCCCAGTTTTCACCAAAGGAAACCAGAAGAAAGCGCAAAACCTTCTACCTTATCCTTCAGAAAAATCATAATGAAAAGTTAAATTTTCATGGCCTACATAGTAATACTTTTATTTAACAGTGTTTTTTTTGTTTTTTTTTTTTTTGGTCTTTTTCCTTTTTATTGGTACCGGGGATCAAACTCACGACCGCCTGCTTGCAAGGCAGGTGCTTACACCGCTGAGCTAAATCCCCAGCCCCTAACAGTGTATTTTTAAAAAGATCCTACAAATGGAACTCAGATGTCAGAAGAAAGGGCATTGCTTTGCCATCAGTCTCTCCTACATTCTCATATCTATGCACATGTCACCCTTGGGCTGCACATTCCCCAAAACATTCATCTCTAGGAGCTAATTCTCGAAAGGGCTCTCTGATTCATGCACAAATGCATATTTGTGAGTTATATGTTGCAAATGGTTGGCTTAGAAGATGTGCTTCAAGGAGGAACTGAGGCAGCACTCTCCCTCTGCATACCGAGGCCAGTGTTCTAACTGCAGACTTTCTCATAAAGCTGTACTGAGGGTCTTTGCCTTCCAGCATTCTAAACATAGCAGATTTGGCTGGGTGTGGTAGTGCAGGCCTGTAATCTCAGGATTTAGGAGGCTGAAGCAGGAGGATCCTGGAGAGTTTGAAACTAGCCTGGGTTACAAAGTGAACTCCAGGCCACCCTGAACTGCATAGCGAGACCCTGTTTCAAAAAGACGGGAAAAAAAAGCAGATTACATTTGTTTCTGAGAAAATACTGGATGGGCAACTCGTAAAATTCTTTTTTTTTTTTTTTTTTTTTTTTTTTTTTGTCTTTTTTCATTTTTATCGGTACCGGGGATTGAACTCATGACCGCCTGCTTGCAAGGCAGGTGCTTATGCCACTGAGCTAAATCCCCAGCCCCAACTCGTAAAATTCTGATAATGTTGATTTGTTAAACTTTCAGGTCTAATTACAGTATTAGCATTTAATTCAAAATAAGAAATCAAGTATTTCATTACTGTCTTTGCATAAATGTAATTGGCTGATAACAGCATTGTCAGATTTTAGATTTGACATAATTGTATGGCAGAGTCCCCCTTACTACATTATGCATATTTATGTATGGAGCAAACTTGTATCGAGTACCTCCTACATCCTAAGCATCCACTCCAGGCATTTGGGATCCTAGGATGGATAATACGTCTGACTTCAAGGAGGATCTGTTGTCCTTGAGGGAGGAGGGTGCCAGTGTGCTGAGGACATAGGCACGTAACATTGTAGTTCACCATTAGTATGCAGCAAAGGTGCATCCTGTCTACACAGCATGCAATAAAGCGGGAATCATGGCTCCACAGGGCGTCTTCAGCATTGGTATTTGTTGAGAAGGGGACTCTGGATAAGTGTGAAAGACATAGTTGCCGCCACCCTCAGGATAAACTGTTGATCTAGAAATAAACCTGGAGCAGAGAAGAGGCCCAGTTGTGACACCATGGCTGGCAGACTGGAGCAGGGCCTCCTGCAGGTAGTGGGATCCCAGTTGGTGGCAAGGCTGCCATGGAGTGGTCTGCCCAGCAGCCATGCAGAGACCACGCAGTTGCCAGAATAAAGGACTTTGGTGTGGTAATGAAGGTAATAATATCTCAAAATTCTTTCGTTCTTTTACCAGATTGCAGAAAAGCTGAGGCAGGCCCTCAGCCGCTTTCCAGTTATGTAGAAAGAATGGAACATGAAGAAATCTCCGAAGTGTTTCTTTCTGACTTGGGGCAATGCGATTCAAACTGTATTTTTTCATATCATTAAAAAAAAAAAACCCAAAAATGTATTGAAAAAACTGTTTTCTTTACAAACAGCCAAAACGCATTGGCCAATTGGTTATTTAGGGACGGTATAATGTTCATTTCCTACTCATTATTTAACCAATGGAAATTGTCTATATTTTTGGAAAGTACTTAAATTTATTAGAATTTTGAATGGAGAATTAGGGGTTCCCCCCACTGATATTTTACAAAAAAAAATTGTAATTTATATGTTACCCATTATCTTCTAGTTCTTTCCTAATGTCAGATAGTTACTAATTGCTTTCTTAAAAATATGAAATATGCCAGAATATATATATATATGTTTGTATATTTTTATAACTTTCAGTCCTGTGGGGCTGCTGTCTGTTTAGGAAAGCCTGCACGCCCTTCACTGGCACACAACTCAGGTGCTTAAATCACAGGGGAGAGGAAGCAGAGCGGGGCCTCTGGGTCACCTGTGTCCTCACGGAGCATGAAGGGAGACCATTGCCTGTCTCCTTGCTTGCACAACTGCCTGCTGCTCCTATAGGAAGACGGTGCAGTTTTCTTGTGCTCTCCTTAATCCCAAGTAAGGTGTGCTAGAATGAGTAGGTCGGGAAAGCTGGGGAATGGTTCAGAAACTTCTGTGGCATTGCCTCTCTGGTTGGGTAGCCATATTGATTCCTGCACCCAGAGCTGCCACCCCTTCCACACTTCCCTCAGCATCCATTGGACAGAAGGAGAAGTGCTGGACATGGCCTGGCAGCCACTTGGTTTGCAGTATTAGCCAATTGCAGGTTAGCCAGTGTTCTCTGAAAAGACAACAAACCAGAGGTTAGTGTGTCCCCTCCCCACTAAGGGGGAGAGTTTAGGGATTGAGATGAGTGGCATCCTGAACCATGTGCAGTTACGTGCTGAAGATCAGTACTGAGCGATGCTTGTCCTGGGCCCGAACTTTCAGGTAGTTTCCTGATCACTGGTACTTCAGATAATAGCACAGAGTCAAACCAGCTGTCAGCTTGGAATCAGATCAGTCCCTGTCTTACCTGGTCGACTGCGGCTCCACCTTCCACTGTTGCCTTACAACCTGATCTTCTGCTTTCATTTTTTTGACCTAATAATTACAGAAAATGAAAAGTCTGGGCCAGTGTAAATAAGTGAAACCAAAAAATAAGATGAGGAAATCAAAATCAAATGAACACAAATAGAATTTCTTGTTCTTCAGTATCACAGGTTTTTGTTAATGTTTTATAAATAATTTTCCCCGCTTGATTTTTCTTTCATAAAATCTCAAAAACAGTGCTTATGATACAGCCATTTAATATATGTACAAATTGTAAAGAATATGTATAAATATTTTACACAAATGTAAGAGCATGTAGAATTCAACATATAAATTGTTTAAAAAACTGTACAGTAAATTCTCAAAGCACCTTTTCAAAATATTTCTGGTGTTTTTGTGTGATTTTGTTTTCCTTTTGTTTGGGAATTTCTTCTCGTTGTCATTACTTGCCTTTTATTTAAGCTGCCAAAAATGACCAAAGTAATCGGTTTTTCCCCAAAACATATTTATTCTATTGTGAATGAGTGATTTTAGATCTGTACCTGATCCTGATGCCCTGAGTCCTCCTCCCAGGTGTTGTGATTAATTGGTATGGAGAAGGGACCGGGAAGGTAGAAAAGGAATCTTAAGAAAAGGCAACTCCAAAAAGAAGAAAAGGTGATGCCGTGGGATACAGAAGACAGCAGTGGCTGACTGTGATCCTGGAAAAGTAAAGAGAATTTGCAAAGAAAGATAACCTTATGGACATGGTACTTGGAAGACTGTCCTTTGCATGGCAAAATTTTAGTGATGTGACACATATTTCCCTCAGTTTTTTATGTAGGTGTTTAATTTTTCATTGTATGAACCTTCAGGAATCACAGATGGTTGACAGTTACATAACTTACAAATCTTGACAATGGACAGGTGACAGGATTTGGAAAGACCTGGTGGAAGAAAAGTTTGTCTTTTTGTCAGTCAGGTAACACTAGTTGTCTAGGGGGCTGGGGATTTAGCTCAGCAACATAAGCATCTGCCTTGCAACAGGCGGTCGTGAGTTCGATCCCTAGTACCGACAAAAAAAAATGAAAACACTAGTTGTCTACTTCCAGGAGCAGCAGTCCCAAGGTTCAGCCCATCCTACAGTTATAGGTATTGGGGTAACTGTGTCCCATGGGTACTACATGGAACAGGGCTTTGCTCACAAAGTGCTGGAGCATAGTCAACTTCTCTCATAGGCATTGGCGCCTCACAGCCAGGAGGAGCTGCATGCACCTGTCTCACGCTGCAGTTGAGAGACCCCATTTCCTCTCCCCTGGGAACAAATGGAGCAGTGGGGCCAGTGGAGCCATATGAGACAGACCCTAAGCAGAACAAAGGTGCACATCAAGCCCTTAGCAGAAAGACCTTCCCAGATGGAGATCTGCCCCACATGCCCAAGCTACAAGGGTGCCTCCTCCCCCATGGACGGACACGTTCCAGCTGGGGCCATTCCTAGTGGACTTTGGTGACATCCTTTTCCAGCACACCTGGCCTACTGATTCCCCTGCATCTTTAGTGAGGCAGTCAGTAGATCATACCTAAAGATAAGAAGTCCAAAATACTACAGTGTATTATTTAAAATAGTAAAATTTTTTACAAGAAATCTTTATGATCTTGTCAACACGATGCCAGCTCCCCCTCAATGAGAAAAGTCACAAAAGAGCAGATACTGTCTTGATTCCACTTTGAGGTACTGAGTGGTCAGTCACGGACACAGAAAGTGGCTGGCAGGAGCTTCGGAGAACTAAACAAGGAATTGCTGTTTAATGGATACAGAGCTTCAGCTTGGGATAATGTTTGTCTTCGTAAGGACCAGGACAGCTTTTTAGTGTAAAATTGCCCTATAAAGTTGACACCTTTCCAAGAACCCTGTCAAACCAGATGTAGTGCCGTATCTCTATCATCCCAGCACTTAGGAGGCTGAGGCAAGAGGATCACTGCAAGTTCCAGGCCAGCCTGGGCTGCATAATGAGTTCAAAACCAGCCTAAAGTACAAAAGAGAGACCCAGTTCCAAAAAAAAAAAATCCTGTCAGCTGCTCTACAGTGACGTCTACAGAGCGTGGCTGGGACTGCATGTCTTACTTCCTGCCCTGGATGAGTTCCAGAACCGCGTTTCCCGGATATTCAGTGTTTCTGTCACCCTTGTGCTGTTTTTCCTTCTACGAATGTGCACAGTAGCTTGCAGCCTGTCTCTAGGAGACTCTTCTACAGCTTCCAGGACCCAGAGTCACTCTCCACTTTCGTCTAAATGTTTAAAGAAGCTGAGGGAGCTTGTTTGCTGCTACTGTGTATGGTCACAGCAGGAAATCGCTGTCTGTAAAGAACCTGCCCTCACCAGACGTGAATCCTTAGTAATAGATTTTCTGTTCTCCAGAACAGTGAGAAATATTTGTTTTTTATAAGTCACTCGGTTTCTGGTACTTTGTTGTAGTACTGTTACTGAATAAGCACTTCTTCACACACGTGCTCCATCGGTAGCCTCCTCTCCTGTGTTCCACCCTTCATATTCCAGCCATGGTGATGAGGGTCTCACCTGCCCTCATCTGTCTCCTCACCTAGTAAAACCACCAGTTCTGTTTGCCTCCCCTGCATTGTGGATCTGAACGGCACTCAATAATTTGGAAATGAGCTTGCTTTTCTTCTCAGTGATTAAGAGTTCTGCACTGCCCATTGTCTGATACCGAGAAAACACTGTTCATAACTTGTGTCAGGTTTCCTTTTTAAGGAGTGCTAGAGAGTAAGTTGGCCTCCATTCCTCCATTGTGGCCAGCAGTAAAAGACATTGTTTCTTAAAATTTAAGGGGTTCTGGGTATGGGGATGCATGCCTATAATCCCAGCATGTGGGATGCTGAGGCAGGAGATGTGCTACAAAGTGAAATCTTGTCTCAAAAAAAAAAAAAAATATATATATACACATATATAATACTATTATAAATATATATACACACACATATTGGAAGATAATTTTCCCACAGAGAACATTTTGATACACACATTGCCCAAAATTTCTCATTTTCAAGCATGTCTTAGTAGTCCCTGATGCAGATGTGGCAGTATTTGACATCATTTGTTTCTCATTTTCCTTGAGACCAGCTGGTGAGTCTTGCTTCCCTTTATAAAATTTTGTAACACTATGTGACTCGCTTTATCCAAAGAAGTGCAGTTGGGAGCATGTAACTGCTGGTGGTCATCCCTCTAGTTGTTCTGTCCCTTTTTTTATGATGATAATGTGAATAAATGACATGAAAAGGCAGAAGAGCTGGTGACCTAGAAAGCTGAGTGACTTGTCAGTGGAGAGGAGACTTGGCCTTTTGCATGAGCAAGAAATAAACTACAGTGCTGAGCTCCTGAAATGTGGATTTGTTAGTTACACAGCTGTCCTCTGGTCCTCACAGATACTGTGTTATTCCTCTATTGGCCAGATGTGCACACACCTGGAACATACATGTCTAAAAATGGGTCAGCTTCCCCAAACCGGCTTTATATGGGAAGCTGTTCACTCTGACATGAAAAGCAGGAGGAAGCAAAACAAGTAATTTACAGAAACAGTTCATAAAACCAAATTCTTTTGGTGGTAAGTTTAAATAACTTTCAGCTGGATCAGTGGATTTTAATTCAGAAGGGATTATTCTTCCCTCCACACACATCTAAACTGAGAGTGGCAAATTAATTAGCACAAATGGTAGGTGTACAGCTGTTTCTGCAGAAAAACACACTTTCAGTGAACTAAAATCTGTCTTTGAGGAGCCATCAGCTCTTAATCACTGTCTTCCATTTGAGGTATTTCCAATGGTGGGGGAACTTTCTTTGAAGTTAAGGTTTCTTGTCCATCTGTCTTTAGAGGGACTTTCGATAGTGACTGTTTCCAACTTGCTTCTAAAATAGAAATATTTGTACTGTGGCCCGTATAGTCCTCAGTGGTAAAAAAGGGTTTCACAAAATGTGCAAGATCTCAGTTTTTTCTGGAGAGAGAATTTGTACCTCCCAAGAGACCCTTAAAGGTATAGGCAACTCAATAAAGGTTTAGAACTGCTACTCTAAAGACTAAATTTCTATGCCCAGCCAGACCAAAATGTGTGCCATCAGCTGCTTCCTGTTTATATTAGGGTTTTGAGAGAAAACAGAACACAAGATACATAAATATATAAGACATGACAAGATTGGGAATGGTCAGCCACAGAATCAGATGAGGAAGCGTGCAGAGGGTGTCTATATGCTGGAGGCCTAAGGATTCAATCCAAGGTCTGGAGTTCACCCTACTGTCTCGAGCAAGTCTACACCAGCAGGCTGATGGGTCTGTGATAGAAGGCCATAGGCTCTAGGATGGAAGGCTGAAGAGTCTGAGACTATGTCCAAACCAAAGGCAAAGACTGAGGCTTCCCCGAACAATGGAATGCCTTCCTCTTCCTCCTTCCCCTTCCCTTTTATACCTTCAGGTGATGAGCCACCCTAGGGTGGGTCTCCTACACCCTTGGGTGTAGAGTTGCTAAACCCACTTAGTTAAGCTTCTAAATGTCTCAAGTTGGCACAACCAACCAACCACTACACTGTTCTTTGTTGGAGTTGCTCCCCTTCTCTTGCCTTTTCATGGCACATGTGAATGGATATTGTGAGGGGAGGAACACTTCCCCAAGTGTGCCTTTCACCTTCCCTTTAGCCCTGAAAGGTGCAAGCTGATACCCTGGTCGGCCATCCAAACAAGGTGTTTTGGTTTGGTTTGATTTGGTTTGGTTTGGTTTGGTTTTTAGTACTGTGCATTAAGCCCAGGGCCTTTGTGTTAAGCTATATCCCAGCCCTCTTTTTAAACTTTGAGACAGGTTCTCAGTTGCTAAATCACCCAAGACCAGGCTCAAATTTGGCAGTCTTCCTTCCTCAGTCTCCTGGAGTGCTGCAATTACAGACTGTACTACTATGTCTGGCTAAAATGTAGTGTTTTAACCTGTGCCCTGTTAAAAAGGCAATGTGGGGCTCTTCATGCTCAGGACAGCTGTGGGAGTCACAACACATCTAAAAGCTCCCACATCTTTGGCCCAAACAGGGAGCATCACAAGCAGCCAAGCATGAGGAGACTCCTGCATGAGGCTGTGCCCTCTTGACCAGCTGCCCGGAGTGACCGTGTGCAGCTTTAGATTTGTATGGAGGATTTGGGAAGAATGAGGAGAGGTGCAACAGAGAGGAGGAAAGGAAAAGATACAACGCCAGGAAGTCATAGAAGGACTTACCTCCACATGTTTCCTGCCCAGGCTTGGTGCTAACGCAGACAGCTTATTTACCTGGCAACAAGCAAATCTTTCCAGATGCAGAGAAAGCACAGCAGTCTGGCTGTCCAGTCATGCAGCCCCTGCTGGGGTTGAGGCAG